TTTGGTGGTCCGTCCAATGAGGTGGTGATATGGCTAGAGGATGAGATCGTCTTGAATGGCTTCTCGACCTCTAGGAATTAGCCACGCTCTAGTGTTGCCAACTTCTCCTCCAGCTGCAGCTCTTGCGATACCTGCTCACCTAGCAAAATACAGCGCTCAAGAACATCATCAGTACCCGCACTCGTGATGGCGAGTACGGTTTAAAATATGTTATAATGTCACAATAATCCAAGTCATCATGCAGGTTGGGATGCTTTGCATTATCAGACACAGAAAAGTAGCTTGTTCATCACCAACCCTCAAAATTAACTTGCCACTATGCACATCAATCAACGCCTTGGCGATGGAGAGAAACGGTCTACCCAAAATCAACGGCACATCCACAACCTTATTTATGTCCAAGATAACAAAATCAACAAGATGTGTGAATGCACCCACATTAACAAGCAAGTCCTCAATGATACCCCTAGGATGCACAATCGGTGGATTAGCTAATTGAATACTCATCCTAGTGGTTCTGGGTTCACCTAGGTCTACCTTCTTAAACAATTTATAGGGCATGACATTAATGCTAGCACCTAGGTCCGCCACAGACTTTCCTACATGCATGTTGCCAATAACAAGAGGGATAGTAAAACTCCCTGGGTTTTTCCGCTTCTCGGGCATCTTGTTCTACAGGTTTGCAGAACACTCATCACTCAACATCACTGTCGATAGATCCCCAAGTTTCTTCTTATTGGTGATGAGATTCTTCATGAAATTCGTGTACTTGGGCATCTTCCACAGTGCCTCCACGAATGGTATGCTGATGTTGATCATGTTCAACATTGCCATGAACTTGGCAAACTCAGTCTCCAGCTTGTCCTTGTGCATACAAGTGGGGAAAGAAAGTTGGGGAACATGCTTCTTAACCACTGTTTGTGGCTTGGGAGCAGGCGCTTCCTTCTCAATCTCCACTTCCTCGTCTTCGGCTGAAACATGTCTCATTTCATCCTGCCTGACCGGAGCATGAATTGCATTCATCGTCTTGCCACTACTCGTAGTAATGGCATCCAACTGCTGGTGAGAATCTCTAGAATTTGGGATGGTTTTGGCAGATAGAGTCCTTGATGCTCTAGTGGTGTTGCGCTGGGCTATGTCCCCAATATGGTTTTTGAGGTCCTGTAGAATGGCATTCTGGTTCCTCTGACCCTCCCCTAGTTCATTGAATGTTCCTATGGAAATATCCATGAACTGGTCCATCTTGATCTTGGCGAACTTCTGAGTACTGGTACTCACAAAGGTCGTTACCAAATTTCGCAGCTCGGATATCTGGTCACCCTGTGCTGGAACTATTGTCTGCTGTTGAATCTGTCATTGCTACGGTTGAAAAGATTGCCCTTGGTTGGGCTGGAATGGCTGTTGTTGTTGGAACCGACCCGATCGGGTCTGGTGCTGCTACCTCTAGGGAAAGCCACCAATCGATGCTGCGAAGCCAGGAGGCTTGGGTGGTGCTGCCGTTGCTGCCACCCCAGGAGAAGTTGGGGTGCTGGAGCCACCCCTCGTTATAAGCATCGCCGTAGGGATCAAAATGCCGAGCATTGGCATTGAAGTCCTACTGCTTCTCTAGGGTGGTAGATTCTCGCATTGCCTGACACTCCTCCACCGAATGGCTGGAGCTCTCGCACAATTGACACTGGACCATTGGAGGTGATGCCATGCCTTTACCAGGTATGAGGCTGTTGGGCTGCTTCAATGACTGAACTGACTCTGCCACTTCTCATTCAAGGCCTGATTTGGTCTCCATGGCATGCACACCTCTATACTTGAACTCCTGCCTCATGTGGTCTGCCCCCAAGAATGGTCCCGAGAGGCCAAAGTATCGATCATCTCATTCAATTCTGGCGGAGTCTTCGTGAGGATGTCTCCACTCGCGCACAAAGACTCGATCAACCCTGACTTTCTGGTGACAAGGCACTGTAGAAGTTCCCCACAGTGAATGCATCACTGAAATCGTGATGGTGACACTTCAAGAACAGGCCATAATATCGTTCCCAAGCGTCTCGCAATGATTCATCACCTTCCTGGCAGAAATGGGTGATCTCTCGCTGAATTTCTGAAGTCTTCGGAGCCGGATAGTAGCAGTTAACAAATTTGTTAGCCAGATCATCTCAGGAAGTGATGGAAAGTGTCGGTTGAGTTTATAGCCACCTCTTTGCGCGCCCGGCCAGAGTGTAGTAAAAAAGGTGAAGTCGGATTGCATCATCTGGAACACCGTTAAGCTTGAAACCGTCGGTCAGTTGCAAGAACCGATCAAGGTGCACCCTCAGTTCTTCATCTTGAGCCCATGAAACTGGATGGAGGTCGCAATCAACTGGATCAAGCAGGTCTTGATCTCAAAGTTGTTAGCAGGTATGGGCGGGTACTGGATGGCTGGGCAAATGTCGGCGATCTATAGAGTGTAGAAGTACTCGATGGTGTGCTCCTGCGGAGGTGGCTGATGGTTGGCAGCGTCTGCCTGTGGATTGCGGGCGTGATTCACCAAAGGGATCTGGAAAGGAATCCCCAAGTGAGGCTATCCCTGGTTCAGAGGTGGATTCTGCCCCAGGTTCAAGTTGTTCATCCGATTCTGTTCGTCTCCCATGTCGTCCTCCTACTCGGAGTCGCTGCTTATCCGGCCGTCGACTTGCTTTTCCTTCGCAGCCAGTCTCGCTTGTAGTGTTTTCTTAAACTGACGACAAGTCCATTCAAGTTCCTGATCCAACGACAATAATTCTCCCGACTAAGGGTCATGCACTACCTGCACACATGCTGCAGGAAAACCCGTGACGGCAAAAGGTGGAAAGAAATAAAAGAAAACAATGCAGACAGAAATCACATTTCTTCAACAATCAAGTCGTCGTTCCCCGGCAACGGCGCAAAAAACTTGACTCGCCAATACCGTCACACTAGAAAGTGGCCAAGTATAACCACAAACTAATGCGTAGTATAACGGGTTTAGTTTTAATTATCAACTCGGGTCCTAGATGTGATGACTACTCTGTGAAGTTCTCTTTATTCGGCAGTTTGAATGTTGTGAAGTTGAATTTAATCTAAGAAAACACAAAGCATAAAAGTTGTGATTCAAGTTCGAGAGAGGTCTCCCGGTTATGGTTCCCCCTAAATTGAAGTTAAGCCGAATTGTAATTTACCAAGTCCAAATATAATGATAGTTATACTGCGCAAGGTTCTTAGTCAGTCTAAAGTCTCGACTAAAGGCCTTCAAACTCTCACAGTTTGAAGACCAGGAGGGCGACTAACCTCCACCGGAGTAAACGAACTGGGACCTTAACATGCAAAACCTCATCTACTAGATCAAATCCAGTACATAGCAGTGAATTGACTTCTTGACTGAAGTAGTCAATTCACCACTTTCATTTAAGGGTGCTTTATCAACCTATGTAGATATTCTCTTTCTAGGTCAAAGCAGAAATTACAAGAATGTGAAAAAGGCTCATGCAATTCTGAAATCATGCCTCAATTGAGTATAATCAGTATCAAAATAGCATGTACTTGGGTTCATACTCAGGTGACAGAGGGAGTTTACTCCATAGAGAGAGAGAGAGGAAATCAGCTTCAGATGCAAAAATCATCGTATAGAGGATGGAATTCAGCTCCTAATTGTTAATAGGTGCTTTTTCATGCTTCAATCGAGCTCCAATGGTGTCAAAACTGGATCCAGGTCACCTTGGAGGATGAGTTTGTCACTTTCTCTCTCTAACTCTCTGTTTTCTACTCTAAAACTTGGATCCCATCTCCAAAAATCCAAAATTTTGTTAAAATTCAGATTTGCCCTATTACACGGACAACATATGGCCGTGTAAAATCCTGTGTCTGCCCGTGTAACTCCCAAACGTCGCGTTCCGATTAGTTGGTAGTGGGGAACACACGGGCAAACGCACGACCGTGTGGAATTCAGTCGTGCTCGTTTATAGCCCCTGGAAAACTCGCACGGCCGGTACGACCCCTGGTCGCGTGGTCCCAGTTGCACGACCACAACGCACGAATCATGTGCAGGCCGTGCAGATTCCTCAACTTTCCGTCAAACGTCCTAATTTCGCCCAATTGACCCCGAACTCGTGCCCAAGCCTTAATTCGCGTACTAGGACGTGAAATGTCAATAACAAGAACATCCTAACGTGAAATTAGTTTAAAACACGAGAACGAGCCTCACGCAGTATAAGAATACTGTACAAAAACATGTGAAATATTGAGTTTTCAGTCATCTTATTGCACACTTTTAGATGGAATCAAAATTGTTTTTTCTCCCCATTTTATAGGCTTCTGTTTTTCTTTAGCAACTCTGGAAGAAATTTAAAGATGGAATCAAAATTGTTTGAACTTCACAATCATGACGCCTTCAAAGCTAAGCTTCCCCCGCCACCCCACCCAATATATTAATTATGCGGCAAACTTTTTTAATAAGGATAGATGAGCAGAGGAGGGTGGGAATCGGTCTTTGGCCGTTGATAGTTTCTGTGGTCATGTTGAGAGCAGAGCACATTTGCAAATTGGTGTTTGGTGATGTCAACTTTCTAGACCTAGAAGAAACATTTATATGCTGATGCATGTTATGTTACAATTTGGCTTGATTTGTACCAGACGAAGCAATGGACCCTTCTTCCCGTGTACTTGCTAAAGAAATTGGCCAAGTCAACTTATAATTCCTATGGAAAATACGCTGTTGAGAAACCAAGAGGGGTTTGGATAGGAATTTTCCCTTTAGTCAACAACATAATGGGCAAACTATGTTTAAGCATCGTTGAATAACATTTGCCAACGCCAGCAGCAAGCCCGCATCATCAACACCGATTTTGTACTCAAGGATGCAAATTGGTTAACACACCGCGCGATTAGGAGATACTGAGAAGGCATTCTAACCTACCAACAGCTGTGGGGGGGGGGGGGGGGAATTGATTTTACAAAACTTTCCGTCTTATATATGTACAAGCAAAGCCAAGGAGACGGACGGAAACCAAGATTTAGCCGGCTGTTGGCAGAGAAAGCTGCTTCCCACTTCTCCAGGGAAGGCACTGGACATCGCTACAGGACCCTTCCCAGGAGCTTGCGCATTCACCATTCTCACCCTCTCTATTGTCGCAGCACTTACAAATGACTCCCAGAGTTGCAAAAATCTTTGAAGATCCTGAAAAGAATTAATTAAAAGGGAACGATGAGAAAACAGAGACTCTATCAATCGAGGCCGCAGATGAATAGAATTGAATTGAACTATACAGGGATTGAGATATGATGAAAACACCTACTTAGGAGGTGAGTAGATGAGAAGGGAAGTGTTCTTGCTTCTGCAGTAGTTGAGTAATGATTGGCAGAGAGAGAAAGCAGTAGAAACAGGAGAGGCAGAGAGATCCTGTGGTTTGCCATAGTCTTCCTTCTTGGGAGCTCCTGACGTGACGAGGGTTGTTGGGTATCTGGGTTTTAAAGGCTCTCTTAGTTGGAAATGAAAAGAGCAAGAAAGATAGATAGAGGACTAGGTGATTGGCTATCAAGGGGAGATGGGGAAGCTTTTTTTATACAAGAAGAGACAAATGTTTGAATAAAAGGACGGGTGGGTAGTTTATGGGAAGGAAAATGGGGTTTTGGTTTTTGAAGAGTAGATCAATCTAGAAGGAGAAGGGAGTAGGGGATGGTGACTCCATCTGTTGGGAGAGTGGGACAGATAATGAGACGAGAGAATTGCTTTCAACTAGTTTGGCCTTCTAGAACAAAGAACAAAAGGGAAAATGCCAGACAATTTCGGGTTGGCTTAATTCTTTTTTCTTTTCTTTCCATCTCCCAGACTCCCACTGGGGAAGAAAATGAGTTTATATTTTGGGCTTGCAATTGTGCTGCCGACTCTTTGCTAATAGGGTTCATTTTGTAAAATTTGGCATACATTCATTTTATATGAGTGACTAATATTTGAAATTGGCTCTCTTATGATACAATGAGAATAATCATAGATCGAACCATTATTTATACAAATTAGATGTCGATGGTGTCACTCTTTCAAAAAAATAAAAAGCAAATGAGTTAGGTAAAGATATTTCACTCTTTGACTTTCTTACTTAAATGGCTTTTGAGATTTGAATGAAAAAAGGTGTTATACAAAGTTTGGCTACTTATTTGTAGGGTAATAACTAATTATCAACCAAATCTTCTTTCTCATTTTAAATTATTAGTCAAACTTTCAAAATACAAAATATTAGCCACATTTAATTTACTGTTAGCAATTTTTTTTTGTTAGTAATATAGACTTGCCAACATGATACTGACTTGGAAGAGATACGTGGTGGTCAATATTTCAAACTTTAGTATTTAAATTAAGAAAAGAGTTACAAAGTTATTGACAATAATATAAATATGGCCAATATTTTGATGCGTTACAAAAGATTTGGCTAATATTTTGATGCATTACAAAAGATTTGACTAATATTTTGTATTTCGAAAGATTTGACCAATAATTTCAAAAGTTTGAAAATTTTGGCTAATAAATTGTATTTACCCGTGATTTTGTAAAATAAATAATAAAAAATGATGGTATGTTGACCGCAACATGGAAACCAACTCATCATTACTAATGAAATTGTTAACGAGAAGTTAGTGTTTGGCTAATTATTCTTATTTTGATAGTTTGAGCTAATATTTTGGAAATATTTTGGTAATAATTAGTATTTAACCAATAATTTATGCTCACGAACGCATTACCAACATCTAGTTCAAGAGAATGCGTTATGAATTTTTTTTGTTTTTTTACAAAAGATAATCATATATATTGATTCGAACAATAAATCATTACATCCTGAAATTTACCCATGCCAGAAAATTAAAGAAACGACACGTAGTCGGGTACAAAGAAAGGGCCTTCCTAGCCATCAAATGAGTTATCCTATTACTACATTGACCTACAAATCGCACATTAAGCCTAGTGTGAACAACCAAAAAGCGCGTGACTTCCTCAAGGATGACCCAAATTTGATTATCCCAGGTATTAGACTGAATTATTTTATCAATGATCACTTTGGCATAACCTTCCAACCTTGTCTCCGTAAACCCATTCTCCAAACACCAGAGAATTGCCTCCCGAAGAACGATGAGATCGACTACCATAGGATCATCAATATCAACAAACTGCACTTCTTTCACCAAAAGGATCATCCCCCCTTGGTCCTTGATAATAATGCCCCACGCTGAGTGAGACCCACTATTAAATGCCCCATCCCACATGCACATCACTGAATTAGGGTTCTCACCCCCCAAAGTAACTCGTTGGTGAGAAGGATGACCGGACCACGCGATCAAATGGCAAGCTATTCCATTCCTGATACTGCTGGTGAAATTGTCGCATTAAATCTGGGATCCCAAATTGTTTACCTTCAATGACCACCCTATTTTGAGACCGTCAGATCAACCAAAGGACCATGACAACCGCCATAAATGCATTGTGAATTTACCATTGAATAACTTTGTTTTGGCGATTAAAGATTAGATTATGAATGGGAATAATATACTCGTATATCCAAGTGTATCTATGTTTCTCCATAAATGCAAATTGTGGATTAATATTAGGAGTGTTCAAATGGTTACCATGATAATTATCAAACCAATTAATTCTAAATGTATTAACCATGGATTACAATATCATAACCAAACAGACCAAGCTAATACAGATTAAAGTTTAGTCGATTTGGTTAATTGGTTAATCATGTTAACTAATATAACGTAACATTATCACTATGTAAGAAAAAAATTAATTGTATTGCATTTATCCATAATTTATATAATCAATAGTATATAACAACAACCGTATAATTAACCTCTCGATCTGGATTATAGAACATGTAGATGGACTGGTTTGGTCCGGACCGCATCGTTTCTCACCCCTAATGCAAAGTATGAAGTATGGTATATAATATATTATGTATGACTAATTGCTTAATTAGTTAATTGATTAGAAGTACCTAAACCAAAGACTGAAATCCCAAAATACACATATTTTTAAAAAAAATTCCAAAATAAACGCGTTATAAAATTTTTTTCCAAAATACACATGTTTGGGCATCACTGTCGCCGTCAACCGCAGTGAATTCATTCATCGCGGCAGACGAAAGCGGTGAATGCATCACCGCGGTTGACGGCCGCGGTGAATGCCTGACGTAACACCGAAACTTCAAATGAAAATAAATTTGCGCTCAGTTATCCGATTGTAGCGATTTTTTTTTTTTGCATAAATTTTCAAGATTCTTCAATTTGCAACTAGCCTTCATCACAAAAAATGCCGTTTGTTACCCCGAACGAGCAATTTTTTGATTTTGACCAAACTTTGAAAGGCCATAACTTTTAGCTCCTCAATCCGAACGTCGTAAAGTTTTACTAGGAAAGAATTTTTTAAAAAACAAATAATTTTGCGTATACGGATTTTGGGAATAACTTTGCCTTTACTTTTCACAAATCCACATACATTCCAAAATTATGGTTATAATCAAAGTTGTAGCCCATCAAAAGTTATGTGAAATTGAAAAAAAAATCATGACATTCGGATTGCGGAGTACAAAGTTATAATCTTCCAAAGTTTGTCAAAATTGGTAGCAAACGAAAATTTTATTGGGATGAAGGCTTGTTGCAGAATGAAGGATCTTGAAAAGTTATGTGGAATAAAAAAATCGATACAATCGGATAACCTAGCGTAAAATTACGTCTGTTTGAAGTTCCAGTGTTACGTCAGACATTCACCGCGGCCGTCAACCGCGGTGATGGATTCACTGCTTTCGTCTGCCGCGGTAAATTGATTCACTGCGGTTGACGACCGCAGTGATACATTCCAAAATTATGGTTATAATCAAAGTTGTAGCCCATCAAAAGTTATGTGAAATTGAAAAAAATTTCATGACATTCGGATCGTGGAGTACAAAGTTATAGTCTTCCAAAGTTTGTGAAAATCGATAAATTGCTCTTTCGGGGTAGCAAACGAAATTTTTATTGGGATGAAGGCTTGTTGTAGAATGAAAGATCTTGAAAAGTTATGTGGAATAAAAAAAATCGCTACAATCAGATAACCTAGCGCAAAATTACGTCTGTTTGAAGTTCCAGTGTTACGTCAGACATTCACCGCGATCGTCAACCGCGGTGATGGATTCACTGCTTTCGTCTGCCGCGGTAAATTTATTCACTGCGGTTGACGACTTCAGTGACGCCCAAACATGTGTATTTTGGGAATTTTTTTTTCATAACGTGTGTACTTAGGAATTTTTTTAAAAAAATTTGAGTATTTTGAGATTTTTTCCACCAAACTATCTAAATCAAATAAACCAAAAATTTTAACAAAACCAAACAATTATTCAAATTCACCAAATCAAATTATCTTAATACTAGTGATTAGAAGAGTACCACTTAGTTTCAACATTCATAAATTCCACCGAAAGGAAGGAGAGCAAGTTGCAGGAAACTCCGTGTGCGTGCATTGATTGGTATGCATTACCTACTTGTGTTGTTTTCTGGAAGGTTGAGTGGAGAGAAGTTGATAGGAAGACAAGAAGATCTGACGGTGGGGCCCCCATGGCCGTACTTAGGGTGGTGGTGGGTTCATTGTATCCAATCCGTGTCGTGCGTATAATATTTACCGAAGGTATGATATTCATAATCCTTCTAGACAGATTCGAAAGCAAGCAGGCAGCCGACTATTCACTCCTCTGCTTAATTTGCCGTATGGGAGAGGATTAACGTAACTTATTAACCGAGCGGAGTTAATTTATTTGAATGTGCACTTCCTCTCTCTCTGTGGCTAACTGGCTATCTACCTTCGCTTAATCTTGGTTCGGAGAAGCTCTGTTACAAGTCAAAGGTTGTCACCGCTAAATAAACAAAATGGCGACTAGTGCGGCGCTACAAAGGGTGGCGAGAGGAGTTTTTTTTTTTGCTAGAAATTTCTTTGCACCTCTATTGAGAGGGGAAAGGGAAAGGAATGGAGTGGCATTAACCGTCACTAGCAGTACATTTGTCCTTCAGTTCACATTCTAGTGTGAGGAGGATTCTGGTTAAATTACAAGTTTGGTTACTGAAATTATTATTTGTTTCTCTTTTGTCATTAACAAATTTTAATTGCATTAACCGTCCCTAACAATACATTTGTGTTTCATCAATAGTCACCCTTCGTTATCTTTGTCCTAGGTGACAATCAATTCTAACGTTTAATTGTTAAACTGATGTCCTGTCAATTAAAAAATAATGAAAAAATATAACTTAAAATATTCACAAAACTTTCACCTCATACTAAAAAATATAAAGCATCCACACATAGGCAATAACATCAGAAATTTCATAGACAAATACAAGCATGAGATAAAATCATAATATTCATTCACATAACAATAAACAAGATCACGTCC